AAAAAAAAAAAAAAAAAAAAAAAAAAAAAAAAAAAAAAAAAAAAAAAAAAAAAAAAAAAAAAAACAATTAATACGTTTATATCACCCAGTACTTTCATTCGTTTGAAGTAAAAAAATTAATTCTTTACCAAATTATAAAAAATCTATACATCCAAATTTTCTTCAGGCTTCCACCACTATGTGTTTAAAATCCTGGTTGAAATATAATTTTCAATTCATATTGAGTAACGTAATGGATCATAATTTAAATGCTATTTTTTAATTTCATAGAATGTGATTTAATCACATTTGTGACTTAAAAAATAGTTCTGAGAACACAAAACGGAATCAGAGGAAGATAACAGAATTTTCTTCGTTTTAATGTAATATTAAACGGGAATATAAAAATAAAATTTCATGAAATATTTTAGCAGATAATTTTAAGCTTTTATCTAATTTCAATTCATTTAACCCTTTTATCACAGTTTCTCTAACCCCCTCCATTAAATTTGGCAAGAATTTCTGGAATCCCCTTCAATAATTGCATACAGCCCTTCTGTATAAGGGTCTATTCAATAAACAATTACTAAATACTATTTTCTGTCTATTTTATTAATTTTAATTCTACCTAACATCAACGCTTTCCCCAATATAAAGTTCGTTACTAGTAAGGAATCCTACCCCAAGACGTATGGTCTACATTAACAGCATTTTTTACTAATACTTCAGTTTCATTAAAACACGGATATCAAAATGTAAAATATACTTTGAAATATACTTGAACGTTGTGCTTCGTTCCTCAATTTAAAATATGTGTTTATGGAATATTACCTGACTTATAACAAAGGGAAAAAGTATGACACTCTCTGACAAAATGGTGAAAGGGAACAAATATATTTTAAAAAAAATAAAATTGTGTGACATGATTTAAGGATGTTTCATTAGTTTTCACTTAAACTGTAAATTCCTGATTCAGCTGGAAGTATGCTTCTTTCGATTTTTTAAACTCGTTTCGAATATTTTATAATTTTCGCCCCGATCAACTCCACAAATTACTTAATTCAAGATCAAGACATTTATAATCTACTTTTCATTACATGATGTTATCGTAAAAAAATTGGTTTAATAAGATAGCTGAAAAATTGCACTAATTGATTTTGGCAATAAGTTTAGTTTTTAAGACATAGCGTTGAAAGATAATGCTATTTTTATGGTTCATAACTTGGTAGAAAAGTAAAGAAATGGCGCACTTAGAAACTCGGAAAAGATTTTACTATTTATCTAATTTCATATTTTTTTCAGCATAATTTATTTCATAGAATTTTTTTAAAACTTTATAAAACTCCTAAACTTTATAAAACTCTCCCTTTATAAAACTCTTGATTGCATGTTACAGCTACTTTACTGTTTTGAAATGAAATATTTTGAAAAGTGCTGTTACAGTGCTAGTAAAAGAAATTTTGCGAGGTAAATACAACTTTGAGAGAGTTTACTTATATATTTCTTTTAATGCGAATTATATTATACTATGGTATATTATCGTATAAAAATTTTGAAACACCATAAAATTACAATGAAATGAATGAATTAAAATTTTGAGACAATATTTAAAACTCAAGAGGAAAAACAAACTTTAATTTTTGATTATAGGAAAAAAGTTTTAGTTTTAAATGTTCTTAAGTGATTTTTTTTCTTTCTAAATTTTGATGACAAATATGATTTGGAATAAATATTTTTAAAAGTATACAATGCAGGAACTGTGAAGAGAGCTGAATTTGTGAAGTTTTTCTTGCCGTTACTGTGCAAATTTATAATTATTAATTACTATTAATTTTATCATCAAAAAACTAGTACAGAAACGGGCAGCTATATAGAAAGGTTATAAGGACTTTTAAAGAAAGTATTAGAGGCAATAGCCCGAACTTAAAAAATTATATAAACTCTAACGTTAATTTAAAAAGCAATTGCAACAATGCTATTTAGGATTATTGGACTATCTTCATAATTGGCGATCGAAATGGGCTGCAGGTGGCGTAGAGCAGAACTCTTTTCCTATGGCAACACTTCACATGCTTTCCCCCATTAGCGTGTGGAAAGTCATAGAGGAAGGAAGTACGTTAGTTTCTCTCTTGATTTTCAAATAGATTAAAATCTTTTGACTTGAAAAACTATATGGAACTGAAAACTACATTAAACATAGTTCTAAAGAAAAGTATCATGGAAATTTTAAAAAATATTCTTATTAAATAAAAAGGAAAAATGTTAAGAAAGGGGAAAATATCGTAGAACATTCCTATACAACTGAAAAGAGGAGGAGAGGGAAGGGAGATGGGCTAAAGGCATGAAACCGGTCTCTCCCCAGATGTTGATTCGAGTGTTGCGATCGCGAATTTCAACAATGGTTGTCCAATAATCAAAATGATTCGTTTTACAAATCTAGTGTGCATTTAAGTCAACAATGAAATTCTCTTATTATTGTAATTTGTTCTATCTTGATCATTTGAGCTGTTTGAAATCCAATGCTGTGAATTCAAATAAATTTAGAAAAAAGCGCATTTAATTTAATATAATATTTAAAATGTGGAGAGGTATGAAAAAAACTTCAGATGATAAACGTGCTATACGTGTTAAAGAAGCAATTGGAATATTGCAAAGAGAGAGAAAATATACTAGCCTTGGCTATATTGGATCAGGCTCCTTTGGACAAGTGTTCAGAATGATAGAGCCCTTAAGTAAATCTGAGCTGGCAGTAAAGATTGTGCCTTACGAGATGGTGTCAAAAGCCGAATCTGAGTTGTGGAAAAATCTGAGCCATCCCAACTTAGTCTCCTTGATAGGTATGCACAAATTAGAGAGACAAAAAACTTTTGTCTTCTTGATGCCAGTGTATCCAACCACATTGCTTGGCGCCATTCAAGACTTGATTCCATGCAAGGGAGCTTACAATATCGTGAAGACTTGGCTGAAAGATGTGCTCCAAGGATTGGACTATCTTCATTCTAATGGAGCTTGCCATCTTGATATTAAACTGGACAACGTTCTCATATCAGATGAAAATTCGGCACTCCTGTGCGATTTCACATTCTTGAGGGAGTCTAAAAAACCTCTCCATAAGTACGCATTAAGCTTTTTAGTTATTATTTCATAAATGAAAGGATTTAATTATTTCTGCTATTAAATGTATTTAAAAAGGGAGAGATGATTATTCTGCTGTGGTAGCTCATAATTAAAAAAAAAATTATTGATATAAACACTAATTTGAGTTTAATTTTTCTCTTTAATTTTTTTAAAAATTTATTTAAAAAAACATTCTTTAAGAATATTCAAACGATTTCCTTGATTTAGGCTGAATTATTTATAATTCATAAATATAAGTATTAAAAATTAGTTCTACATAATTATTTATTTTAACTAGTAACGTGTACAAAGATCCTTACCAAGAGCATTTAAAATTGAATGTTTAAAAAAGAATCGTGTTATGTTTATAAATAACAACACCTGTATTTTGAAATAATTATTTTCTGAACTAAAGATTATAAATAATGTTATGCTTTAATTTAGGTTCATTATTTACAACTTAATGATTTGAGGTTGAATGGATACTGTTAAATGTAGTGGTAGGCAACTTAACTTTAAAATAAAATTTATTAACACACGAATAAAAGAAAATGTTTAGCACTGGAAGAACTATTTCCTTAAAGCGGTGCAAGTTGGCATCTCTGCTAATACAGCTTCAGGAACTATGAATAGAGGTTTTTATGCCCCCCCCCCAAAGCAAGATTGTACAGAAACTAAAATACCAAACTGCTTTGTTTCATAAAAGGGGAAAACAAAAAAGGTATTATTGCATTTCCGGAAGCATTTAAAACGAACTACTCTGCCAATTTATTACTGACACCAATGGTGCTCAGTTATATGAATATTTTGATTATACATACCATTGTAATATGTACTTAACTTACTAAAATTAACTTACTAATATAGCTTCAATGGTACTAGGTTTTTTGCAGCTTTTGGAAATGGGGCAGCGAAAAAAAAATTATCGTAAAAAGTTCACTTGAATTTCGAGAATTTTTATGCATTTGAGTAAAAAGTTCCGGAAATATTTTAGGAAAACAACACCATTCAAAAACTGCAAGGTTTAGAGGATTTTTTTTCTTGTTACTGTAATATTAAATTGTAGAAAATGTTCTGCAACACTTGCAGAGATTTCAACTTTTATGAATTTTCATTTTGTGTTGTTGTTTTTTTGGTGCATTTATTTAAACTTTTATCAATAAGCTCTAAATGACTTTGGATAAAACTGAACTTTTGGTTTTGATTCGTAACTGCTATAAAAGAGATCTTTCAGCAAGGGTAAAAAAGTTAATTTAATTGTAAAAAACATTCAAGATTAATTTTATAGAATTTTTTCTTAGTTTTAATATTACAATCTAGCTATTTTAACTTAATTAAGCACTGTAAAGTTTTTAAAAAATATGCATTTTATTTATTAACCAGACAAAATTTTTTATTGTAGACACCAAATTGGCATGCCACTGGTATACCAACCACCTGAAGTTGTCTTGTCCAAAGGGAGTGAAAACCTTGATGGAACTAGAATAGATATGTGGGCATTCGGTTGTCTGGCGATGGAAATACTTAGTTGTTTCGCCATTACAAATACGGCATCCATTGGCGAGAGAAAAGAAATGTATACTACTGTATTTAACCTGTTAGAGGTATAGTTTTATTTCATAATGTATAGTCTCACAGATATAGTTCCCAGTGGATCACCTATGTCGTGAATGGGTAACCACTTTGATTAGTCTGAGAAGAGATGGAGGGAGTGCTGTAATGGTCCTCGTTAAACTGTTCAACCGTTTAAACAGCCCGACTTCGCATGAGGGTAGTGCGGCGACCAAAACGGGCGAGTCATTCCCTACGTAGAAAATCAAAATTGTGATGTCATGCATTTGGATCTTAATTACACGAGGATTTAAAAAAAGGTGTCTGAAAGCTGTCTTTTGATGTCACAATCTTGAAATTTTTTTGTCAATTCTAACGTTTTCTGACTTTAAGATCCTCAAATTAGTGTATGCATATTTACATAGTTAAGTCATTGATAACCCGATCTAACTAATTGTAAATTCACAATTTTCATCCACGATTAAGCATCGTAAACTGAGTAACTTGGCATTTACTTAACTACTTTAGCTATTTTACTCGGAATATACCTATCTGTTTTTTCTGAAAAACAAACTTATTCTTTCA